ACTATTGGCAAAATTGGCAAAAATATAGCAATACTTTTATACTCCTAGGAGCAGCACTAAATGACCACATAATCGGACATTTTGGCATCCATTACTCTGAAATTATTGTCTGTATCCTGCTGACGAAGCTGATGTACTTCTCAAGGTTAATCTAAGGACTCAGTCACTCCCCTGTTTTTTCTGATTTTATTTTCAGTTCTGATGCTGTAGCAAGTAAACGGTTTGATGTTTCTCAAAACATTTCCAGTGGGGGGACAGTTGTGTGTGTGTGTGTGTTGTGTGTGTGGGGTGGGGGAGGGGGTGGTGGGGGATGGGGGTTGGTTGCATTTTTGACGATATCTAGTACCTGTACCTCAGTGATTAGAGCACTTATCTTGCAAATTAGAGACCTGGCTTCCATTCCCAGCAAGATGAGACGTTGGGCAAGTTTCCTTACTCCACACGTCTGTTTAACTACAGTAAGTAGGAACCCAGTTGTTAGTCGATTGGCGAATTGCTTTTCTAGGGGTAATAATCCCTTTAAAGAACGTTTTAAAAAATGTGGTCACTTAATTCACGACTCTTTGTGGGACAATGCTCTGTGCAATCGGCTGCCGTGTTTTGCACAAAATATATATTTTGTGAAGCCCTTGAGACACCTCAAAGACATGATGAGGCTCTTATCAAATGCAAGGATTATTATTATTATGTGCGTAGTAATAGTTGAGGACTGTTGGTCATTCTAGTCTACCCATCCAACAAACCAAAACGTTCCTTCAACGCATCCATCCCATTACCTAATAACCTTGAATCATTTTAATTCCCAGAAACATGTCTTTTTTTTCTAGATGACTGGAGCATTATTTTCTTCTCAGAACTCTTGTGATTAGAACTGGAGTAAGCATTGACATAAAAAGTAGGCCAGAAGCCTCCCAAAAGTTGTACTTTTAGCTGTTTTATTTATCGGTTTGGGGAATCTTAGGACTGGGTAAAACTCCTTAGGCTAACCTTTGAGTCGTCAATCATATGCCCAAAATTGCTTTTCTCATATGGGTGACCTTTTCATTCCTTTTCTATTCATTGATCCAGAACCAATAACGCTTTTACTAGATTCAGTGGCATGAACCGTTGCTAGATTAGAGGACTTGAATATACCGTGTTCTTTGCTGGGTAATTGTCTTTGTCTTGGTTGTAAATTTACACTCCATGATTGGATGTCATTTGTTTCTGTGATTGCTGCTATAATTAGAAATTATAGTATAATTTCTATAATGAGGTCTAATTTGCAATGTTTGCTCAAAACAGTGGGAAGTGCTAATTGTAATTTCTGAAAGCAGTCAATGTTGAGGGAGCGTGGCAGGAAGAAAAATGCTATCTCCCATTGCTGCTTTTTCTCTCGGGACTATTTTTAAAAAGAAAATCATCAGATCATAAGATATTAGTTTGGATGAAGAAGACTCTTTGGCCCACCTGATCTCATCTCTCCGGAATACTCACGCTACCATCCTTCAATCACAGCATCAAGCTGTTTAATTTTAACATGAATCCAGTGTCCTGGTCTCAATCAACTTTCACGGCAACCTGTTCCATTATTAATTGGTTTCTGAGTAAAGAAAAACTTTGTGGTATCTCTCCTGAAATGGTTCTTTTCAACTCTAAACCTGTGTCCTTTTGTGCTGCTGTCTCAGTGCATCCAAAGGTATAGTTCTAGGTTTACGTTTTCAATCATATTTAACTACACCTATAAAGTCGCCTCTAAGACATCTATCAAACTGAAGAGCCCTAGCTTGTCTAATCATTGCTCATTCCTCCAACACTGGGATCATCCTGTTGCTCTCCTCTATACTGCTTTTGGGACCTGGGAGGCCCCCTTATGCAGTGCTCTAGGTGCGGCCTGACCAGAGCATCTTGCAGCCTGAATTGATTTAACAACCATAGCGCATCATTCTGTTTGCTTTGTTTCACTGCTGCCTCACCACATTTGAACATAGAGAGCAATAAGTCAATTACCACCCCCTGGTTTTCATTTGGTTTTCCCCTTGGCAAGTTCTATTCCTTCCATGGAGTATATTTCCTATTGTTACTTACTATGGTTGAAGTCTCCATTTATCTGTATCGAACTTCATTTTACAGTTATCAGCCAATGTACAAACTCTGAAAGATCTTTGCTGCCTCCTCTGATTTCACAGTTCCCCCAGTTTGGTTACATCTATTTTACACCGGGGCTGCGAATCCAGGTCATTAATATATGCAGGGCACAAGAGGACATGAATCTGAGCTCTCGGGCTGACTAAGGAAGCTCCAATTAGTGCTTCCTTTTCCTTTTGCACATAAGATCTGTTGACTCAGTGGCTTATCCCATGAACAATGACAAGTTCTCAGCTTCTGTGCTGAATTAGCTGATCTAAACTGGCAAGGGAATCGGCCTCAGTCCTGCCAGTAGAGGAGGGGGACATCAGCCTGATCAATCATTTCCTGATCAATATTATTGTGACACTATTCCATCTCCCTGTAGAATGGAGAGAAATTGGCAAGAGGGAATACAATCAATAATAATAATAATTAAATTTAGTATAGCGCTTTTCAAGTCTCAAAGTGCTCCACAAGATATAATAATAATCTTTGCATTTGATATAGTGCTTTATCATGTTATGGAGTCCTGTAGATTAGTGGTTAGAGCACTCGCCTCACCTGGGTTCGATTTTTAGCAGAGCGAAACCATGGGCAAGTATCCTTATTCCATATGCCTGATAATAATCCCTCAAGAAAAAAATAATAAATTGGTCACTTGAATCCACGACTGTTTGTGGGACACTGCTGTATGCAATTGGCTGCCACGTTTTGCCCAAAAATATACAGTCAATTCACTTTACAGTATATTTTGTGAAGCGTTTTGAGACGTCTAGAAGACGTGAAAAGCGCTGTATCAAATGCAAGGATTATTATTATTATTATGGGCAAGTATCCTTATTCCATATGCCTGATAATAATCCCTCAAGAAAAAAATAATAAACTGTTTGTGGGACACTGCTGTATGCAATTGGCTGCCACGTTTTGCCCAAAAATATACCGTCAATTCACTTTACAGTATGTTTTGTGAAGCGCTTTGAGACGTCTAGAAGACATAAAAAGCGCTATATCAAATGCAAGGATTATTATTGTTGTTGAGGTACCTCAAAGCGCTTCACAGAATATACTGTGAAGTGAATTGACTGTAGTGTCCCATAAACAGTCGTGCATTGAGTGACCATATTATTATTATTATTTTTTGAAGGAATTATTACCCCCAGAAAGTGATCCGCCAATCCACTAACACCTGGAAACTTACTGTTAGGTAAACAGAGGCATGTGGAGTAAGGAAACTTACCTAAGGTTTTGCCCTTGTCGTGAATCGGATCCAGGTCCTCGCGCTTGCGACGCGAGTGCTCTAACCAATACACTACGGGGCTCCACAATATATTGTAAAGTACAGTGACTGTGTATTTTGTAGGAAAATGCCACAGCCAATTTTGCACACAGCAATGTCGCACGCCAGCTGTTAAAGTTAATGATTAATTTTATTTGGGGGATTGTTGACCAGGACAATCAGGAAAACCCCTTTCTCTTTTCAAGTAGTGCAATGGGGAAACAAAGTAAAATTAGATTAAATGATTTTCTTTTACTGAAAAGATGTCTTGTACGTGTGTGTGTGTGTGTGTGTGTGTGCTTAGACTGTGCGATGGCAGCTTGCAATTCTCTAACTTTTCTGGTTGCCTTGACAGTGCTTTCTTTGATCTCACCATTCATAGCAAAAGGCTTGTGATGGTGTCTTGGCTGTTTTTCATTAAACTTGAATACAGAAATGCCTCCCAGAAGAGAAGGCTGTCAATACCATGTTGAAATACTACAACCTGCACTTATGTAGAAACAGGCCATTCAGTCCAAGTAGGCCCAGCCAATATTTATATTCCACATGAGTATCCACCCCTCCTATTCTCCTCTCCTATGGTCCTCTATTCCCTTTCTCCCTCATGCATGCATCATGTTTACTGTTAAATACATCAATGCCATTTGTTTCAAGCACAACTTCCGGCAGTGAGTTTCACATTCTCACCAGTAAAGACATTACTCCAAAACTCCCTATTAGGTCTCCCATTAGCTATCTTACACTGTGTTTAGTTTTGGACTCAGCAACAAGTGAAAATAGTTCATCCACTTCAGTAAGACGACTTATAACACCTCAGACATAATAATAATAATCCTTGCAGTTGATATGGCACCTTATCACGTCGTTGAGACGTCTCAAAGCGCTTCTTATTTTCTTTGAAATAATGTGGAGATAGCCATTCAATTGTCAATAAGGAAGTTATTAGTAACTGGGAACAAAATGTGGTTATAATCTGATCACCTATAATAATTATTCTTGTATTTTGTATACAGTCTAGAGAGTCACTCTAGTGCAGTGCTAGAGGTGGTTGTTTGTTGGAGGTGCTGCCCTTTGGACGGCAAATTAAGATGAGGTCCTGTCTGCCTGCTCAGGTGGATGTTAAAGCTCCCATGGCACGATTCAAAAAAAGAACAGGGTTTTTCCCAGCATCCGGGCCACAATCCACCCCCCAACCCCCCCATTTAAATTAGTCATTCTCTTCATGAATGTTTGCAGGATGTTGGTGTGGGAAAATGGGCCATTGCATTTGTCTGCAAATGCGCAGTAAATATGCTATGCAATAAAAATCCTGTAAAATGCTTTGAAAGGTTGTCAATGACCTGATAAGACATTATGACAAATGCAAGGATAATCTATCAAATAATTATCTGGCTATCACATCCAATCAATTGCACTACCATCTAAGAGCTTGGAAACAATAAATTTACTTGGTTTGTAAGTTTCGTGACTGAATATCTTGGAATTGATCCAAACGGAGCCAGTGGAGTTCAGTGTTGAGCATGGAACGATTGGCAAGTGACATTCAGTGCATGTAAAGATATGAATTTCTTAAGTGATTTATAGTAATTCCTAACGTTTGCGTATCCCATTACAGGGCTGTCTTTCAGGAAATTCACCCGAACCTGTTCACACACGAAGAGTGGTCTTTTCGCACAACATGGATAAAGCTTTGAAAGAAGGTACAATTGTTTTAGTTAATTCCTGGGCAGGGTCACAGTTTTTTCTCAATGCTATCATAAATGCTATCCCTTAAAGGAACGAGACATAAATATGAGAATCCAAAATCAGTTTATCGTGAAATGGAGAAAGCCCTAGACTTTGTTGATGTTTGTTTGTCAAAGGACTTCAGAGACAAGCATAGATTAGAAGAAATGGATTACATTCTTTGAATCAACTGTAATTCTTTGAAGAGGTAACAAAACTGGTGGGTGCGCAAATGTAAATCAGTGGATATAACTACTTGGATTCCGAAAATTGTTTTGCAATATTTCATGTTCCAGGCTTGAAAGAAAGTCTAAAGTATATGTGTTTTGTTCCCCATCTCCATTCCACCCATTGTGCAGTGGGTAAATGTACATCCCAGCAGGATTGATCTTTGGCTAGGTTGATTTAGCTGATTATCAGATGGAGCATGATGGTTATCTAAGTGGTTGGGTGGGCTGGGAGGGAGAAAAGTAGCCAGGTTTCCTGCTTCTAAATGGCAACTCGTAATGCTTGCTGTAAGTGTGAAGACAGGATCCTATTAAGATTTGTTGGTTCCGAGTTACGTAGGCTGCTTACACTTGCGCAATAGTCAGTTGGATGGTTGTAAGATCCAATATTTGTAGAATCATGCTGCAGAATGGACCAACGGCTCCAGGAGAGAATGTGTAAAACAGATTGAAAAAAGGATTAGCTATTGGAAGCAGAAGGTTAAGGATAAAGAATGAACTGGTTGAGATTACTGTTTAATGAAACTCCAAAGGAAAGATTTGTTTCAAATCCCTTGCATGTTGGTCCATTCATAAGTAAGTTGTACCNAAAAAAAGATAATAATATCAAAGATCGCTTTGGAGAACAAGCATTTTGTACACTCCCAGATATTTAGAGCAATTCTGAGGGACTCTAATACAATTGTTTTGTCATCTGAGAAATTTGCAGATAACACATCAAAGATAGAGAAATTGAGCAAGTTTATGCTTGCCGCCAACATGAGGATTCAATTGCACAATAATATTTCCAGTAGTGAGGTTCTGCCCAGAACAAAAAGTAAGAGCATCGAGCCCTATACCCTAACAACAACAACAACAACAAGATTACATTTATATAGTGCCTTTACGTCGGGAGGACATCCCAAGGCGCTGGACAGCGTACAGCATTTCAGACCCGAGCTGGGGTCATGAAGGGGAGGGGACGGAGCATGACCAATGGCATGGTCGAAGAGGAGGGTTTTGAGGCGGGACTTGAAGGAGGCTAAGGAGAGGGTGAGGTGGAGTGATTTGGGGATGGAGTTCCAGAGGTTGGGGGCAGAGTGGCTGAAGGCTCTCCTGCCAATGGTGGGGCGGGTGGGCAGGGGACATGGAGCAGGCCAGAGCCGGCTGAGCGGATGGAGCGGGCGGGTTGGTAGAGGGTTAGGAGATCACAGAAATAGAGTAGGGCGAGACCATTGAGGGCTTTGTAGGTGAGGACCAGGATTTTGAACTGGATCCTCTGAAGGATAGGGAGCCAATGGAGTCGGGCCAGAATGGGGGAGATGGGGTCACAGAGTTTGGTGCGGGAGAGGACACGGGCTGCAGAGTTCTGGATTATCTGCAGCCTGTGGAGGGAGAAGTTGGGAAGGCCGACAAGCAGGGTGTTTGCATAGTCGAGCCTGGAGGTGATGAAGGCATGAACCCTAAGGGGTTTAGCAGCATTGGACTAGCTAGAAGATCGCTTACCAAAGTGTTGGTGCCAGGCAAATGATCTCTGGGCAACTAACCAAGTGGAGTGGAATCATCCATTTCAACCAATATTTTAACTCTTAGTGACTGCAAACTAAGGTTACTTTCAGGTGGAACAAGTTGCTACTGCATCAATTTATGTGGATCATGGTCACAATTGACTCTGCATATCCATCGAGTCATAGTCATTCTGACTCATTCATATAATAATGATAGAGGAAAATGCATCATGTAGTTTCATGACATTTTCTGATTGCACAAGAATTAGGTGACAAATATTAGGTGGATTGATAACATTTAAAATGATTTGGAGCAATTTAGCAGATGAGTAATGAATGCCAGGGAATTTGAATGCAAATAAAAGCAAGGTTCCACATGTTAGATCAAAAATAGTTTATTATTGACTTGCATTAGCAAAGGTATCAAAGGCTTTAGGTGTGATTGACCTTTTCACTAAAATACGCTGTTGGTGTGAGGCTTCAACTTAAAAAATAGTCATTTCAATCATTATTATGACTTGATAAATGGTTTACAGTAGAGCTGGAAAAAATTTTAACCGTCCAAAAAAATCAATGTTGCTTCACAGTATGAAGATTTTTGATAAAACTTAGCATTTCTTTCATGATGCATGAATACAGTTGCAATCCTGACTATTCTCACATAAATTGTCACGGTAACCATTTTAATATTGCTAAGATGCAGTGACCTTTTTGAATATCTACATTGAATGATCTTCAACCAAAAGGGATGATAATTGCTTCTTTACAACCCTTGTATTTTCCTTTCATCTTAAATGTTGAGAATTTGCAATGCCATTTTAAGGAAATCTCTTGTGGGGAAAGGGGGGTGTTGTCAGTAGATTAGGATGTCTCTTTACAGGCGCCCACCTCCAAAAGTTAATAAATTTACCAACAAGCATTTACCGACATCACCTGTCGCTTGACAAAAGAAAACCCATTTTTGGACATACAATGCTTGGCTGTCTTGGGGTTGGAATTTAACACTGAATGTTGCATTCTATTTGTAATTGCTTGCAATAAAGTAGAACAGCCTCCCATGTCTGCAGTGAGGGATAGGCTGCATGGATTTCAGGGCATGACCCATGCTGAAGGGTACCTGCTGTCAGGGAAAGAGTGTGATTTAAATTAGTGACTTTCGCAATAGGTTGTTGGTTATGTTTGTCCTCATGGTTTCTCAATGAGGAATGGTGATATAATGGCTTCTTTATGGTGAGATTGGATATTTAAAATTTGGCTGCATTTGAAACAGACTCCAGCAACTTAGCTAGGTGTGATCTGTTTCTGTTTGTGAGTTTATAGTTCAGATTTACATTAACAAATATTACTGATAGATTCACCATGATTGCACCATCAAATATCTGTTAATTGGTGGTGTTGCTTAGAGTGGTGGTTAAATGCCTAAAGATGTGGGTCTATTGACCTTCAATTTTATACCATGCATGCTTACCTTTGTATCTCTTTCTTCCGCGAATGTTTAGGTAATGAAAATATAATTTTAAGTTTTAGATGGGCTAGTGGGAAGGGTTCAATGTGAGAGTGAAAATTGAGTCCTGTGAATGTGTGAATTATCTCATAAATAAATGCAGTCAACATGGCCAGCCTATAATTAAACATCGGCAGCAAAGACTGGTTACAGGTTTGACCATCCCTTCCCAACTCTTCCCTCCACAAGCTGCAGATCATCCAGAACCACTGCAGCTTGTGTCCACTCCCGCACCAGGTTCCGTAACCCTATCACCCTCACCCGGCTCCACTGGCTCCCTATCACATCCAGATTAATCAGATTAGCGCTCTTGTTGTGCTTCCAATGGCACTCTTTTAATATTCAATGGACTAGGCAGACTGTAACTGCATATTGTTTCCCAGGTAACCCATAGGAATAGGCTTCTCTCTAGGCAACAGCACTCAAACAACTTTAGTTAAATAAAAGGGTTAATGTTAAAGGAATAGAATCTGATGTCCCAATCATAGAAAGTTTATAGCGCAAAAGTATAGCACAGACACAAGGTCCATCAGCACCTTGGGACATCTTCCCAATGTGAAACAGCGCCTTGGGATATCCTGCTGCTGCTAAAGGCGCTATGTAAATTTGTGTTGTATCATCTCTGTAGGGTGCTAGCTATCCCACTGGAGGTAACTGCTCTGAACCCATTCCTGTGTCCTTTCCCCGATGTTATATAGTAATGAATTAACCAAAGAAACCCTTTTTTTTAAATATCTGGTGGGTATTTGTGTTGTTTTGTTCGTCAATACTGGAATCAGAAAGTCAGTTCCTGCAGCCCAGGTCCATTCTATACCAGTAGAACAAAACAATTTGAATCCCAATTTGTTTAGAGCATCAGACATAGCTTGTTTATTTCAGTGGTAATACCTAGTGAAATAAGTTTTTCAGGGAAAGCTGCTGAAACGAAGATGGAAGTTCAAGACTAGATGCTGTTTTGGTGAGAGAAGTGATTGAAACATGTGGAGAAGAGTGGTTACAAATCTAAAAGGATTTTGCTGAGCTTGATGGCTTTTCTCTGTTCGTAAAAATAAATGCTGTGTCCAAAGTATTTTTCATATCTTTTGTATCTGTAAGCTATGGTTGGAATGATTGACGACGGGATGTTTTAGTGATGTATTTGGATGATACATTGTCTTCCCCTATATTGAGATTGGAATGTTGAATGGTTGCACAGGTGGGAACATGCTGCTCCACTGTGCTACAACTGAGCAGTGGACAGAGCTGCAAGTTCCCCACTTTGCAAGTTGCCAAGTGTTATTGTGGCATTGTCGAGTGGAGTCCATAGACCTGGAACCTACCACTCACTAAGTGCTCAAATACAACAGCAAATTAGATTTGTAAAGCGCCTCTCGCGTCAGGAGCACGTCCCAAGGCTCTGGACAGTAAGGGATCCGCACCCGAGTTGGTGGTTGAGATCAGGATGGGTGGAGGGCGAGGAGATAGGGGTAGGAGGATGACCGAAGTACGGTTGAAGAAGAATACAATTTGTTGTTGCTGAAAACAAGAGCATAATGCCTTGATGTACATAGTACTCAGCTAGGATATGAGTGCATGGAGTTCAAAATCCGATATGAGGAGGAAGAATGGAATGTATAATATCCATTAGTAGGAAATGTTGAGAGGCACAGTGCTGATGAACAAGATCAATGCCATGTGGAATCTGGAAAACATGCCACCAGAAGAATATTGATCTGTGTTTCGATCTGCATTCTGAGTTACAATCAATGAAACTCCAC